TGACAGAGACTAGCTCTATCTAAGGGACCCAACAGAGTAGGTACCTAACACCTGAAGACTGAGACAGAACCAGCCTCCGAAACGTCGTGGTTTTAAAGAACATACGATGGAAAGAGTCCTGACAATGAATAATTTTAAGTGTAAACTACCGTCGTCAAAAACCTTTAGAATTGATTTATTCATTTTTGTTTTCTTATTGTAACATCCAGGTGTTTGATCTCGCAGTGCGTGGGTCGAAAGTTCTGTGATGCAGTGCGCTAGATGATAGCAGCTGTGTTGGGAGCCAGTTTATCTTAATTCTCACAGTTATCAAACCTCACGCTAAAAACGCAAATTTTTTGTCTTGTGTATTCACTGAATGTTGTTTCTGAAGCGCCTACGTCCCAAACAAAATAACTGTCAGAAATCGTTTAACGTACGCCTTTCAATATCGTGGTAATCTCTTACACAAACACACAGTTTCATACACTGAAGAAGAAATATATATATTTTTCATCACAAACTCAATTCTTTTATGTTTTCATTCTGGTGAAGAGAGAAAAATTAATTCGGGAAATCAACATATTCACACAATAGAGTCCAGGTCGTTTTCAAATAAAAAATTAATTTTATATACAAAAAAGAGGAGAATTATTCCCCACTTGTATGTTCTGTGGTTGAAAATCAACATTATTCCGACTTCGTTTAATTTGAAAAATTATAGGTCTACCCTACCAATACTTGTGGATGCGGCAAGAATTATATTACTCATTTATCGATGTTTGTCTACCGAGTTCTAACGTCGTGCATACTTCGCGGTACATGTCAATGTTTCGGAGGAAAATATTGCTTCCATCTTCTGTTCTGCAGATCGTGCAGTATTGTTAGGTTAATAAAATTTTTGTTGCAACGAAAGCCTGCGCTTAAAATACGATACGAAGACTATTGAATGTTGGTATGGAAATATCTTGTAAAACGTTCAAGAAAAATACGAAGAAGGAGATGAGAGAATTTGGAGGAGGATGGTAGGTGGATGTCTGATGTAGCTTTATGGTGTTAACGGCGTTGGTCCTTCGAAATGTACCACCACAGAATTAGTTATTAGGTGGAAAATTACTGACGGTTCGTGGACGTCATGTAGTATATGGGAGGTGGTCGATTATTTCTGTAACTCAGATCCGTAAAGTCAGTTTATTTATTAGGAAGTCAGTGTCATCAAAACTTCTGGCTGACCATTGTGATTCTTGCACGATTAAAATAAGTCATGCTTCTTGGAAGTGTGTCAGATGTTCATTTCTGACACGAAGATAGTCTATTAGATGCTTGCCAAGTATATTTAATATGGTGACTGTAGGATTTGAGGTTTTCACGGCGGTGAATACGAAGATGGCTGTCTTCTGGGTTGTTGGGCAGTGTAGTCTGGTAGAAGTTGACCGACGTACCCAGAGTACCCATTACATTCTTCGTGTTTGAAATTTCTTATAGATTCAACACCTAACCGGATACCTCTATCTTAAGAAAGCCCAAAATATTTTTTTTTTTACTTGTTATTTGGGTAAGCTTCGATAAACACTATTACGGTGATAAAATAATAACAGGTTCGACAGGCGGGACATGGAATGATCAGAAATGCATAATATTTTATCCTGAAATCTTGAAGGAATGTGACGACATTGAAAATGTAAATGGGGAGATAATATCGAAGTTTATTTTTGAAGTAGTGTGAGGTTAGGTTAGAGACCAGTGGAGGTTTCTTGTGAAGAATATAACGCACCTTCGGAATCCATTAAAGTCTTAACAATTTCTTGGCCATTTTCTATATAAGTCTGTTATAATTTATCTCCTTTACTCCATATTTTCTGGGGCAGAAAGTCTTCCGAGAAATATGTATTTTAGTGCTGCCCGAGTTCGGTTTTAAACAGATTTTATTGTATAATAATCTTTAAAAATATATATCCAGCCTTCCATCGTCATAAACCTGTCTCAAAACACACAAATCTTCCAAACGAGATGCCGTTGTACGAGACACGAGGTAGCCTTCAACTGATAACATAAACCACCAAGATTAAACGTTGGTTTTGAAATCATTTTACTGTTACGAGTAGCTGTAGAGTGTGCTTGCAGAGTTTGGTTAAATCGATAATCACGTTTATTATCTATCCTACGGACTGGCTGACCATGAGTCTGCGGTGCTATCGGGTTAATCGTGGATGATATAACAGGCGTCAGAGGCAGGATTGCCAACCGTCAGTATAAAACGCAAAATTCCTACAGTCGGCTTCCTCCCATCCTCCGGCAACATTTATGTATCTCTGTCTCTCTTACTGTGTGCTGCCTCAGTCCATCAGGGGCTGATTGTGTTTCGTATATGGCAATCAAATAACTTTCCATAGAGCTTACATACAGACTGCCATAATTATGTTTGCCTCTCCCCATACAGGGCTATCAAGTGGAGCTTTTATACGGAATGTACAGCCCGTAGTGCAAGAAGGGCATAACTCAGATTCCGTATTGTTACGATATCGTTGTAACGCGAGTTATATAAACACCTGATGCAATTTTCACGAAAGTCAATGCAGTGAACATAACACGGTAATCAAATTTTCTGCAAACGTCAATGTGTCAATAGATTATCCTTTATTTTAATATGATTTGCCTCTCACCTTTCTTGTTCTGAACCCTACTACCGATCTGCACGTGTCTGTCCGTCCGTGTCCTGATTTAATTACATCGACACCAACGGAACTGTTTTGGTGTGCCTTGGTGTGAACAAAGGTGCAACCCGTATTTGATAAGTGCGTTTCGAAAATGAAAAATTTAACAGAACCTAAACGCAAGCTTGCTACTTGGTAGACATATATAGACTTTAACTGAATTTTATAGAATTGTATTGATTTTGTTTGATTCTGCGAGAGATGAGAAATGCATGCAGAATTTTAGACGGAACACAGTATGTCTTCACTTAATTTTAAAGTATGCTTTACATAGGGTCCTAAATACATATTACAGTAATTTACTAATAAAACAAAGAACCAACATGACGGCCCTGACGAGGATAAATAAAAATGTATCTTTGTCTTCTCATATGAAGCTGTTATAGAGTTATTAAGTATTCTGCATTCTTTAACATAAGCGATGAACACATTGTTGGCTCGCCCATGTCTGTCTGTCAGTCTTTCTGTCCGTTTTTCACAGGGTTACTCAACCTGCATGACCTTGGATGACGTTAGTTCAAGAATGAGGTATGACGTAACTGTGAAATCTTTAATGTAATAATAATAATGAAGAAAAAGTAATTCAAATTATTGTAGGAGCAACTGAAACTGTCTCCAAGTCACTCAAAAAATATTTGGCAACATCCCGGGCGAACACAACATTAGGGAACTTCAGAAAACTGCCATTTTTGGATCTTCATACATCATTCGAAAGACGCTCATGTAAAATATGTAATGCCTTATACGAAATCTGTGTAATGCATGTAACACGTATTAAAAGAGAAAATGTATTTCAGAAATAGCTGCTGCACTATGTACCTCAGGGGCAAGGTTTGTCTCGGGTAAACAGAGTAAATACCCTGTAAAATGGTAAAAGATGCAATAATAATAATTTCAAGGGTGGATAATTTAAATGCGTATTAAATGACAACAAAACATTTGTTGAGTAGTTGATCAGATTAGTGTAGCAGTAACATTGCTTATGGAACACGCTCATTTTGTTATGAGATGTCTCGCTGTTGTGAAATGCTCGTGTTCTTTGTTAATGTCATCACTTCTTCCCACGTGGCTTCACCACTTCCATTATCATTAGTATTTCATCGCCACACGTGAGCTCAACATGACATTCTTATCCCACTGTTTAAACTCAGGGCTGTTTCTCTTCGTAACAGACTGCACAGCTGTTTCCTTCAACGCTTTGATGCAGCGTTAACAATATGTACCACATATTTTAAGTGCTTCACACTTTTTCCACAGTGTATTTTTGGGTTTTATTTAAATGTCAGAATTAATAGCGATTATTTTCGTTATTATTCAAATTAGTGATTAAACAAAGTTGATTTTTGTGATGAAGACATATCTTTACATCAGTAAGATCTGAATTTTTTGATGATATTTATACCAAACTTGCTACTGCTTGCTTAAATTAATCAAAATTACCTCCATGTTCTGGAGGTTACAAATGTTATGGTTATATATTATCCATATTATCGACCACTGCTTGATGCAACTAGAAGCTTAAAAGTATTTATATGCTATCGCTACTAATCACCCCAGCGTCGAACTACAAAGTTTTATTCTCGGACCAGCACATGTCATGATAATATTAAAGTCGCGTCTTAGTATGAGTTGTTCTTATTAAGTGGGGCGTTGCAGGTTTATAGTCGAGGGTGAAAACCACGTTCAAGGAACTTTGGAAAGATCTTCACAGACAACGCTTGGTGGTGGCCTGTGGGGTGGCGTTGAAATACACGTTTCTATCGTGTTATTTAGAAGTTTTTGTACAGTACAATACTGGCTTACGAAAGAGGTTATATAGCCAAAAAGATGTAATTTATGTTCAGTTTTGTACGGCAAATCTTCCAGAACTTGAGGGAAGAAATTTGTTAATTTCATTGCGATTTTATGTACGCTAACTTGAAAGAGAATAAGAAAACAGAGAAAGAAGAAAATAATATTAAAACGGATTCCAAAAGAATCTTTCATGCGTGGTCTGGATTAAAATAGCTCAGGATAGAATAAAATGATTGAATATCTTGAACACGATAATGAACATTGACGTATCATAAAATGTGAGATATTTTTGTCATTTAAACAACTATTATTCTGTATTATTTAGCTAGTTAGGTTAGGTTCTTATTACCAGCTTTTGTATGATCTAGTATGTTTCAAGCAGTTCTACTGTGTATAACGTTATATTGCACTAGAAGAATTATTTTAACTGAACGGTTTGAATATAAATCTATTTGTAGGCGTCTTATAGTAGTGTTCAGTTTTGATAGTCATTTTTTGTTCCTTTTATTGCAGATTTGTGGAAAGATTCAGCGCGTGACCTAAGACCTAGGCCTACGTAGGAAGAAATTACCTGAGCAGGTAATCTTCAGTTTCAAAACGTGCAGACTTTCATTAAGAACTCAGCCCTCCCTCGTGTTACCGCGAAACACAAAATGAAAAATCCTTTCATAAGTGTCAAGTAATATTAAGAACAGACTATTATACTAGGATTGAAATTCTGCTATGTTTAGCTTCTGTACTTCTAAAGAAATTATCTTGATCTAACATCGTGGCCGAGGTGTTAGCACAACTCCTTCGTATTTAGAAGCCCCGGGTTTAAATATCGTCCTGGAGATATGATATACCAAGGTTTTCATGGTTTTCCTCAGTCTCCTGCAGATTTTTTCACAGATTAATAAAATGTCAACTCCAGCTTCCTTCCATATCCTTTTGTAGCCATTATTTATAAATCATTCTAAAAATTCTGAGCTACTCACAGCGTCATAAAATAAACAATAAATAAATACACAAGGAAAAAGTCGTCTAACAGCGAAATGGTTTAGTGGGGGAGGGTTTAACAATTAAATCATCCACCAGATATAAATCAGACGAAATGCTACGTGATTTGAACTAATTTGACAATTGTACCGTCGCGATTTCATGATCCTTGAACCTGCCTGAGTGTTACGTAGCAATCAACAGCTTGGGCGGAAAAATTTAGCGCTGTTATCAGCTCTTTATTGAATTTCAAACGTGTATACAGTCCACATACCAGGAAAAAAGCCCTGCTAGGATTGTGATATACGCGGATGCGCAAGATTTCGCGGTGAGTGACGACCCATCCTAAAACCATTCGTTCCACAACCACTGAACGAACAACAGACGACAGGCTTTCATGTGGTATAATGGGTACAGCTTTAAGATAACCTCACAGTGACACAGTGATTTAATATAGAATATTATCGCAACACCCGCAGAACACATTACAGGTGCGTTCACTACACGCTACTCTTAACTGCTTGATGTTTTCAGTCTGTGTGTAGTAGTGTAAAACTCTGACGTATCACACTTCCCACCAATAGCAGCCCTGTAGTCCACTTGATAGTAAACATTCCCCCTGCACCGCCCCAGAAACGACTTCCTCCGAAGGGCTTTTCTCCTGGTCTGTGGACAGTACGTGGTGTCTCAAGGTTACAGATGACAATACATAGAGTAGACTGTCGGCTGAAAGATTGGTCAGGTGATTCACTGGCAGAACGGAGCAGGTGACATCTGACGCGTTACTTGGGTAATGCTGTTTCGAGACGGATATTACAGGGCGCTGAATGAAGGATAGTCAAATCTGATGTCTGTTATGTTGTTTCTTGTTTCAGTACCGCGCAAAACAACTGCTTTAACAAGCTTGTGTTACTATAAAACGTCAAATTCCTGCCCGCAACTTGCAACCCTTCGAATACAGCCCTCGCCCAGAAGCATGCTGTCCCACTTTATCTAGCTTTATCTCTCGGGCCGGCAGAGGGGGTGGCGGTGGTGTTGCCAATTAGAGAGGAGAATGTAGAACCCCCACCTACCACCCCTGACTCCCTAGAAACTGCCTGTATGCGGCAGTTAGATAGCGCAGTCGGTAGACAGGATAATTAGCAGGGAACAGTAATCCTTATGCCGCCCTGATAATATATAGGGGGTTTATAATTAAGGGGTTTACTTACCCCCCCCCCCCATACGTGTCCTGTAGATCTAATACTTCCGTAACTGAGCTTAAAAAATTGAAATATTTCTAAGCTAAAGAATTGCTTTGAGCTTTGGTGTTAAGAATAAATACAGTCGTTTTTTTCAAAGATCTAGACAGATTAAAGAAATTGTTCTGGTATTTATAAATTTGAATTTCAATATAGGTTAATTTCTAGTAGCACATTTATAATTTTTTTTGCATGTTCTTCGCGCGGTAAACATTGTTATAATTAATTTTTACTTGTATGTTTATTTTACATGTAATAGGTGTTAATTAAACTGTCTAATGACTTACGCGTAATAAGGCCAGCTTAAGGAAAAAGTATACATGTATTTTTACATTATATTTTGTGGTTTCATAATCCATAACAAATAGATAAAAATCTCTATTTAAATTGTGTAAATTCTTACAACAAAGGAATGGAAATTTAAGCTGATATTTGGCGCCTTTAACTGAACATTAAAGTATCCCACGTGTAGTTGTTCTGCTTCTTATATCCCTGTGTACTATATTCTGCCCTGATATATCAGAACTAGGAAAGAATAGAGTGGATTATGTGTACAAAGATCTGTTACAGAACCTAATGGAATATGCAAAAAACACGTAATAAAACTAGATGTTTTTCTGTTTTATTTCTTCCACCTTTATCTTACGTTTTTATGTCACTCTTGATTGTCTCTCGTAATGGTACATAACAATAAGATCCATTCATCCCTTTTTTGCTTCTAGAAAGAGAAACAAGTTAGTGGAAATATGGAAGGTAATCCATTGTTATCCGTATTCCCTGGAGATTCGCAGAGAGAGGGGGGGGGGGTCGGGTCCTAACTGCCATTTTCTGAACAGTTTTAAGTTGCAGGACGTACTTAAGTTTAGACAGAAACGAAGTATATGGAATAAATGTGAATATTTCACTCCATGTTCTTCGTAATGGATGCTACGTTGTACGTTTTTAATGGCTGGTATTTAGCTAATATTAAATAGCTTGTGATAATGGCGTCACTTTAAACTTTGTTTGCTGCAAGACAGAATGGCTATCGCTTTAAATTGTTTTTCAGTTTGAGGAATGATCAAGTCCTTGTAGTAATTATTAAGTTTGCTTTTACGTTGTAGTTTTAAAACTGGATTCGCATATAATTGCGTTGTGTCTTCAGTTAGAAGAGAAACTTAGGTATCATTATTGGTAATGGGTTTCTTAAACTTAAAATGTTAGGCAAATATCGCTTCTTAGAAACTGTTTATCTGTCATTAGACAATGTTTAGTGCTTGTGCGCAAAGATTATTATTGTAATAAAATGAATACGAATCATTGGTGGGGCATATAGCATGCATTGGAGAGGTAAGAAATTTATGACCGAAAATTTTGAAGGAAAGAGACCACTTGGAAGACTTAGGTGTCGATGGAAAATAATATTAAATTTTATTTTATATGCCAGACTGGGGTATACATTAATCCAGTCATGGTAGGTGCCATTGATGGGCTGTTTTGAACATCGGGTTTTATAAAATGTTTTTACTGGGTTAAGGATTCTGCTGGAGGGTGCGTTGTCGTTCTAAGTTGATTGAGAATGAGTTGAAATTTTGTGTTTTTGATATTAAAATGAGTTTGTGTAGTAATTGGCATAGTGAATCACGACTATCTGTTTTAGCTGTTGGCAAGGCATTGTTCTGTGTCATTGCCGGAGAAGAAATTAAACGGTTTGTATCGCAGTACACCCGGGTTATGCTTAATTGAATGTGTGTGAATAAAAATGTCACATGTCAAAGGCAAAGCTACGTAATTTAGGATATTAACAGGGGGGGGGGGGGGGGTCGGGTCCTAACTGCCATTTTCTGAACAGTTTTAAGTTGCAGGACGTACTTAAGTTTAGACAGAAACGAAGTATATGGAATAAATGTGAATATTTCACTCCATGTTCTTCGTAATGGATGCTACGTTGTACGTTTTTAATGGCTGGTATTTAGCTAATATTAAATAGCTTGTGATAATGGCGTCACTTTAAACTTTGTTTGCTGCAAGACAGAATGGCTATCGCTTTAAATTGTTTTTCAGTTTGAGGAATGATCAAGTCCTTGTAGTAATTATTAAGTTTGCTTTTACGTTGTAGTTTTAAAACTGGATTCGCATATAATTGCGTTGTGTCTTCAGTTAGAAGAGAAACTTAGGTATCATTATTGGTAATGGGTTTCTTAAACTTAAAATGTTAGGCAAATATCGCTTCTTAGAAACTGTTTATCTGTCATTAGACAATGTTTAGTGCTTGTGCGCAAAGATTATTATTGTAATAAAATGAATACGAATCATTGGTGGGGCATATAGCATGCATTGGAGAGGTAAGAAATTTATGACCGAAAATTTTGAAGGAAAGAGACCACTTGGAAGACTTAGGTGTCGATGGAAAATAATATTAAATTTTATTTTATATGCCAGACTGGGGTATACATTAATCCAGTCATGGTAGGTGCCATTGATGGGCTGTTTTGAACATCGGGTTTTATAAAATGTTTTTACTGGGTTAAGGATTCTGCTGGAGGGTGCGTTGTCGTTCTAAGTTGATTGAGAATGAGTTGAAATTTTGTGTTTTTGATATTAAAATGAGTTTGTGTAGTAATTGGCATAGTGAATCACGACTATCTGTTTTAGCTGTTGGCAAGGCATTGTTCTGTGTCATTGCCGGAGAAGAAATTAAACGGTTTGTATCGCAGTACACCCGGGTTATGCTTAATTGAATGTGTGTGAATAAAAATGTCACATGTCAAAGGCAAAGCTACGTAATTTAGGATATTAACAGAAAAAAATAGCAACCATGGTAACAAAATGTATCATTCTTGTCAACTGCTGTTTGAGAAACAATGCTGTCTAAATTAATGTAAACAGTTTATCTTCACTTTGTTGGAAGTTTCGTTTATATGACGTATGTCACTTTCGTTCTGACGCATTCTGTTACTCCAGTGAGACCAGCCCCTTGTGTGTATAAAGTCAGTGCTGTGGGAAATTCATTTAATTTCGCAAGGACTTATTGATATTCACGGAGGAGTTAGAGCAATATGAGAAACTGTGAAGTCCTAGATGAGAAATTAAACTAGAAGATGTTATTCCATAAGCAAGCGAGGGCACAAATATGCGTCTTTTAGAAGATTAATAGACTTATTTTTAATGAAATGTGAATGTCCTCTGGAAATGCTATGTATTAATTGCTTTGACTCATGATGTAAAGAATTTAAGATATTATTTTAGTCGTTTCTCGGTGAATATAACTTAAGCTCATGGTTCTACTTTATACTAACACGACATGCATACTATTATAATAATATGAGCCGGGATAGCGCAGTCAGTATAGTGACTAGCTACGGGCTGGACGACCGGGGT